AAACTTACAGTTCCTGGCAATATATTTTCAAATGTTGCAATAGAAGCACCTTCTGCCCTATAGTTTACTTCTTCCATTCTGAGTGAACAGTAATTTAATTAGTCCTTTGAATTTTTCTCTTGTTTTCTGTCAGAAAGAGTTGACGTTTCTAAGCTATTTGTTCTGATAAGCTCATAATTCCTAGTTAGCGCTTTTAATTGTTTATTTGCAGCTTTAATTAAGTTTCATTTCCAACTGGACAGTCTTCTTTGTATAGATGTACACATACTTTGCTTAAGCTTAATTTGTACGTCCTCATACACCATACCATCTATGAATTAGGTACATCATTTATCATGAAGTGCACTGGTAAGATAATCGGACAAGTCTTTCCACATCATCAGCAAGTTAAACCAAGATGTCATACTCCTATATTTTCTGTTTCTAAACTTTGTCTTAGAAACTTATTTCTAATATGCTACTCCAGATCTATTTTATTAGGCAGCCACTAATGTGTGATAGGTGTTACAACTCTTTCTGGGAGGTTACTTAATGTTGTTAAAGGCTATCATTTTAAATGAACAGTAAGATAATATTCTTGTTGTTTACTACTCCATCCATTCTCCTTAGAAATTATTATGTATTTTATTATTATTATTATTTGTATTTGATATGACTCTCGTTGTACTTTTCCATCATAACTATTGAATTCTTGATTGGGCGATATTGTTGAAATGGTCTGTTATACTCTGTAACTCGATGACGTAGTGATGTAGTTGAAGTAGTTGTGATAGATTCTACAGACATAGGTGGCACAATGGTAGCGGTATCAGGTGTACGCCAGGAGAGTTCTTCTATTCGATAGTGTATAGTTAATTGTGTTTTAGGATGACATTTTTCAGTATGTGCAGAGAGACTCGAGGCTGGTTTGATCCTTGCATTTACCAGTTCAGTTTCCAAATGTTTTATCCTGACATGAATGTTATTTTGTACAAGCGCAATTTGCCGTTTTAATCAATTTATTTATTTGTAATGTTTCTGGAAGAATGTGATGGGTGCTTATATATCGTCTGTATTTAAATTAATTGTACGTGTGTAAGAATGAAACAATAATATGTACGTATTTTGAACTTCAGCTCATCTAATATGTTAATATTTACATCGTATAGTTGCCAGTAATGTCTAGTGGATGTTAAGCCTAATGCTAATAAAATAACTTAATATCCACAGTGTGGTTGGTTTCGTAAATTAAATGCTTTGATAAACCATTACGATAATCAGAACCATAAAGATTTCAGAGTGAAGCTTGTGACATGAAAACTTTGCAGTTGTTTGTACGTCTGAACTCACATAAAACTGTTTTAGTGAACAGAAAACCGTAATCCACAAGTCGCGTTAAAACAGTTGAAGAAGTCTTTTCGATCGGTAGTTCTGAATTTTGTTGGTCCGCAGACAACATGATTATTTTCGTGTTTGGTTTTCTTTTTCATGCCGGCCCATCACACACTAAACTGGGTAATGTACTACATTTTAAACATCAGCTACAGTGGCATGTTTTCGGATTTACAAAGCTAGAAACCGGGTTTCGATACTCGTGTTGGGCAGAGCAAAGATAGCCCATTGTATAGCTTTGTGCTTAATCACAAACAAACAAACAATAATTTCATAGCTGCACAAGTTAGACCTTTCCACTTGATACATTCTCAGTTACACGTATCTGCTATATATGAGTTTGTAAGCGTTAATAACTAAATCTTATATCTGACTTCCTTTTCACATTTTTATAAGTGTTTTCGAACTACCAATGGTACATGAACTGTTGATTGAAGACCTCTGTTCTACGCGTTTCAAAACTTCTGATAAGGACGTATAACACAACCAAAGGAATAATACTTCTTCTTGCAACTGACACAATTATACTGATTGAGAACAAGGGACCAGACAATTGATACAACTATTTTGAGTGAGAACAAGCGGCAAGACAATTGACACAACTATATTGACTGAGGACAAGGGACCAGACAATTGGCACAACTATCTTGATTGAGATCAAGGGTTAATCGTAATTTAGAAGTGATAGACTATACTGAGGGCTGAGGCTTGACAATGCATGGTGGTTAGGGCACTCGACTTACAATCTGTTGGTCGCGGGTTCGAACACTCTCCCTTTCAACTGTTGGGGCATTATAATGTGGTAGTCAATCCCACTATTCGTTGATAGATGACTAGCTGCCTTCTCTTTTGCCTGACACTTCAAAATTAAAGATGGCTAGCCCAGATAGTTCTCTAGTAGCTTTACGAGAAATTCGACAAACAAGAGAAAGGGAAACCAGTCAACACCACCAACTCTTGGTTACTGTTTTACCAACGAAAAATTAGATTAGCCATCATTATAACGAACCCGCAGATTATGAGTCGAGCTCACTAATCACAAGCCAAGAATAGGAATCACAAATTTGTCAAAACTAGTTTCTCAAATACCAATATTCCTGACAGTTTGTCTCATTTACTGTGTTTTTTTCGCAATATTGGGTTCTGTATTTTCATGTGTCCTAAAGTTTCAAAAAGATTCCAGACATTAAGATGTGTGTTCATCTTACGATGTCAGAACTCTCTCTAGCTAACATTAATATGAATCATTAATTCAAAATAATAATAATAAAGCGTAATACTATATTCTCCAACATTAGCAGTGGAGTGCGAAAAGGGAGTCTCCAATAATAATTTTGAGGAGTAAAAATATATACCCCCCCAGTATTGAGAAATTATGTAGAGAGAAAAATCGGTCTTATGGTACCTCTGGAGTAAAACAGTAACTGTAATTTCTATGTTGTAGGAGGGGCTATACCGCTCGCAGGCCGTCAGTCTGTACTGGTGTATTGTGGCAGTAGGTTTATGTGCTACAGGGTGTGTCACATCCGGCCATTCTTGGCCCCCTGAGTTTTAAATATCTTTCTATTCCACTGACTATTATCATATAGAATTATTTTGACCTAATCTAATAACTCTGAGTACTTCCATCAGTTAAAAACAGTACAACAGTGACACCTATCGGTCATATTTATAAAATATTACTATAAACAGCAATTAACAAATATTTACTTCTAGAATAACAAAATATTTTTAAACATTGTCAGTAAAAAAATTCATAAAACAAAAACATATGGCATACTACTACGTGGCAGTATTTTTCTTTTAAAATTCGTTTAGTGTGAAGCTTTCTCCTAAGTCCTGAAACTCGTGTGCTAGATATTTATTACACTATTGTTAGCGATAGAGTTTGATCACATGAATAATCTGTTATTTAAAGAATGAGTCACACTTTGGATTAAATTATATTTCATTAAAAGACAGGTTTCGGGATTACTAATTTTGAATCTTTTAATGTCTTTTACAGTCCAAAGTAATCTTCTTTGATAACCTGTTGTTTGGCAATTTTAAACAGTCATTATATTAGTTCGAATCCACAGCTTCGTATATATCATAACGAAAAAACAATTTTTTTTTTACTCTTTCTGAAATTGCTCAAAAACAGGGTGGTCTAAGGAGTTTTTAACTCGCATACCATAGTATTTTTTGAATACCAACAAAAGTAAAGTCTCAGATACCATAGTATTTCTCGAACACCAACAAAAGTAAAGTTTCACATACCAAAGTATTGCTCGAACACCAACAAAAGGAAAAACAAACGAAATATAAAACAACAAAAATTAATAAACTTATTCTGATACCTAGGTCAGCTTTAAAATGTTAACATAATTTTAATTAAAAGGTTTGATTATTACACTTAAACAGTTATTTTACAGATTTTGAAACATTATTTGTTCAAATCACGTTTTGTGTTTTTCAAACAACATCGGACGTGTAGGGCGAGCCTAGTCGAAAATATACGAGAAAATGGCGATTGGTGAAGAAGCATAGTGTCTGAGATCATTTTATTCTAATGAACTAAACCACATGTTCGTCCACCTGGTTTAATATATTTCTATCGGAAAAGACAATCGTGAAAATTATGGAGAGCTCTGGTGGAACCGAATCTACGAATGTTCCCACCATAACTACTGCCGATATATCCGAGGAGCTTCCGAATACGGACGAAGGAACATTTCCTTCTCCGGAAAACGAAACGCAGACAGTCAGCGTTGGCCTTAGTGTTAGCGCTTTACCTAACGTCCTTGTTGCTACTAGTCAAGGTTTGTTTACTCCGGAACAGTTGCATGAAGCAGGCTTGAAAACTACTCATTTTGTAATTCATGACCAAGCAACTATTGATACAGCTGTATTTAAATTGAAAACACCAACCACACCTCTGACACCTTCTCCTGTGTGTACTCCAGGAACACCACTTACTCCGATTAGTGCTGGTATTACAGAAAAGAAACTTCCTGGCTTCAAGTACAACTGGGAGCCATCCGTCCACGACCCAGTTTTACCCGTTAGATGTCGAAATGTTTGTGGAGAACTTCATAAAAACAGATTTGGCTCAGGTAGGCTACGTCTGAGTCTAAGTCTAAAGATAAATAACTTTACACTCAAATTACAGTTCACCAATTACTAGTATGAATATTTTATTTATCCACTTATAACTTATTAATGCAAGTATGACATCTAAAATGGAAGGTTAAAAATCCGAGTTAAAATTAATGTAAATTGTAATGTTATTTCTATGCTAAGGATGTTAATTATTATTCCAAATATATATTTATTATATACATACAAACTCAAATGCCAACCTACCTGCCTTTAAAACTAAAAGGCTTAATAGATTTTTCAGTTTAGTATTTACTGTTTTTTTCTTATCTTTGTAAGTAGTATACATTTAAATGCTGAATATTTTTAGTATAATGTAGTAATTTTTTCTTGGAGTATTTCCTCTTCTTGGATTTGAACCCAAAACCTCACAGACCAGGTGAATGCTCTACCACCTGAGCTAAAAGACTATCCTCCTAGCACTTCTAGTACTATCGTCCTAGTAAGGCACTCGGACTACTACAGCAGTACTTTGTCCATGTAGTCACAATGCCTTTTCTAAATAGAAAGAATTTGCTGCATGTAATTCAAACCCTAAAGCTGTCATTATCTCCAGAGTTGAAAGATATGAATTTTGTTGTACAGGTATTGAATAATGCTGTTTTGTAACTGTAAAACTATTTTGACTCTGTCACATTAAATCATTATTTTCCAAAAACAAGTAATATATCTTTGGTAATGGTGAAATGAACAAAGAAGGTAGGAATGTTCAGAGCTGGATTTCCAAACATCATTTTCCATTTTAGTTGAAGTGCTCACTGTGTTGCAAATTGCCAATTTTTTAAATGTTGATATGTTACTTGACTCTCAGAAATATTCTACAGCAGCATGAAAAAGGATGTCCAAAGTGGACAATGCATTACCTAAACAGGTAGCTAGCTGCTTTTATAGTCATATGTAAACTACTTCACTAATGAACTTCATTTGGCAAATGACCTTAAAACAAACACCCAAATAATGACAGATCAACTTCTTTAGGCAACTCTTGACTAAACTAACTGATTTTGATGGTTGTCTTTCAAAATTTATAATTCACACTGAAGGGATATGCGCATTTTGATTTGTGTTCACTAACCCTGATAAAGCCGCAAAGGTGAAATGTTGGTTCGAATATAAAGTTCTTTTATAATTATCTGGTGTTTAAAGGTCATTTTTCTCTAACCTTTCAGTCAATTTTGATGGTTCTCACAATTCTTAGCCAGAAACAGGAGTGGCAAATTGAACCATTAACTAAGGTATATTGAAAGCCTAGTGATTGGATAATGTACTCATAATATGGAGGTCACATAGAGACGTGTTTAAATGTTGCAAAAGAAGGGCCACATGGTGTATTAGCACAGTGTATTCTGTACAGAGTTATATGAATTCATTTATTGTCAGGAGGAAGAGGAAAGTGTATTAAAGTTGGTGAAAGTTGGTACACCCCATCAGAGTTTGAGGCTATTTGTGGAAGAGCTAACAGCAAAGACTGGAAAAGAAGCATTCGATATGCTGGTCGAACCCTTCAGTGTCTTATTGAAGATGGTGTTCTTCAACCTCATGCCACATCTTGTACTTGTACTGCTTGTTGTGATGATACAACTGTGGTAAGACCTGATCTTTTAGTTTAAGATACATTTCTATTAGATATTACTTTTACATGTATTTAAATGCTGAAACAGTGACAAGACAGAGTGGAAAATTCATGAGATACACATATAAGGTTCAAATTGTCTTAAAGCAATTTGCCAGTCTGCAAGTATTAATTTTCCTGCTTTGCTTTTGTTTTACATTTCACATGTATTAATACATTACATCACTGCAGGTAATTAATATTAACATAATGTATGAACACCAAAGGACTTATTGGTCATGCAAGACTATCCTTGCAAATCTACTCTTGAGAACAATATAAATTGGAACTCAACACTCCGTCACCCTTTGTTTTTGGGAAAACACTACTTCTTTTCTTAAACTCCTGTAAATTGTTAAATTCCACTGCTGAAGTTGTGCCTACATGTATGTCTTTATTATACATATTCATGTACAAAGTTTAGGATTTAAAAAGTAATTGTATTATTCATTATTGTACCTCAACTCTGAAAACAGCATTTCTTCTGGCTTTTCATATTTTTTGCCACTTGATGTTTTTTTAAGACATAAATTTCAAGGTCAATTTTTATGTCTATTCTAAATGTATTTCAACAATTTTAATTCAAATTGATTTTTTATCATTTTATGACACTTATATTTTCATCTTAGCATGGCTGTAAAAAGTTTTGCCTGTAAAGAACCCACTTGTCAATTTTTCTTTTTTAGAATTTTTCTGCCCAAATATAAAAACCTACCACCCCTTGAGAATATATTATTCATTTTGATTTTCTCAATCTTCAAGCTTTTCCCATAGAGTTTTGTACAGGCTTTAGTTAATACCTTGTTATGGTGCAGCATCAAGTGATTTGATCATTTACTATACATATGATTGGATAGACCAAGGATTATACTATAACACCATAGTACGGTAAATGTATACAGGTTGTGAGTAATTAGCAGTATTTCTTCCTTGATATGATGGTTTTTTTTAGCACATATTCATTACATAAATTATATAATTATCATATTATATGCACACAACTTCTACATGGGTTTCCTACTTACGTTTTTTGTAGTCATTGTCTTCAAGCTTAAACTACAGTGTATGATTGGCTTGTAACATAGTGTTATGATAATAATTGTAAACATATGACATTGATGTATGCTGAGCTGCAGCATATAAATACTTAACTGCAAACAAGAGAGAAGTTAGGATTTTGTAGTTTTTGTTAGTACCGCTTCTGCAAGCATTATTGTGTAAGTTTTAATTTACTGTTGCCTGATTACATTTGCCCCTCAGCATGTGACTGTCACTTGACCCATATTTATGAATTGTCAATAAACAGTTCCCCGTGATTATTAATTCTGTTGCTATTGATCTATTTGAGGCTATTGTTGATGAGCTGGTTGTACATGGGTACAGAACAAGATTGTCATATTGGAGTCCAATGTGAGAGTCCTCTCAAGTGTTATCTATGCTCTCTTTATGTTAAATTAGTCTACGAAGGATTGTAACCCTTCTAATACTGTGTCATTGTAATACTACTTTGAAACTTATCCATGAAGAATCATCTTTCTTTTATTCTGACATCACAGCAACTCAGTTCATCACAAGATGTGTAGTTTCTTCTTTTCTTATTGGTGTGGCCTGATATTCAACATTCACAAAAAAAAAAGTAATCTTGCCCTTATTTTCCACTACTCAAATATATAAGGGAACAAGTGGAATTTTCAAGACCTCCATCAATATTAAATGTTTGATGTGAATTATTATACCCCAAATGCATTATCTTGCACTTTCTAGAATTAATGATCATTTGCCAAATATTTCACCAACTAATCAATTGATCCAAGTCATTCTGTAGTATTTTAACATCCTCAGTACAGCAAGAAATACTCAAATCTAATATCACCCGCAAGCCTCACTAACTTACTAATTATATTTTTATCAATATCATTAATGTAAATAAGAAAAAAGCAAAGGCCTAAGTACTGACTCCTGAATAATAATCAGTAATAATC